TATGGCAACAGGAGAGAAATGAGCCCTCTGGCATACAGGTGCAAGGAGAAAGAGAACAAACAAGGGCAGGATGTAGGAGCTATCCTGCATAAATCCACAGCACTTGAGTCTGCCTGAATATGGCTTTTGCCATGTCTTTTTAATTCCTTTATTTTATTGGCTCCTTTATTAAAGCTCGTACTTTATGCTGAAGGATTTAGTACTCCCTTTTTCCTTCCCCTTACACCTTCCAAGAGGATTACCTATTAATCCAAATGCTGACAGTCATTCATTTCCATTACAAAAATAGCCCTAGTCTATAACAGTATCCTCCTTCAACTAGATGAGCATTTTAAACAGAGCCTCAGACAAAATGATCTCAGCACCCTCTATATTCCATGTTTATTGTATGAATCTTCACTATGTTTTATATCAGTGGAATTTAGCATCAAAAGCAATGGATATCAAATTGAGATGAAGAACTAAATGAGGTAAATACTGAGCATCTCATTTTACTCATTTACTCATAATAAGCAGAAAGGACGGTGCTGGACACTGAGGAAATATGCAAAAGAATCATCTTTAGGAGGTCTAAATTCTATCAAGGGATATATTAGACACATATATAACCATAGTATGAGATAAGATGTGTTACATATCGCAAGGAAAGGCACAAAGTATCTGGATCTTAATAAGTGATCAATTCTGGTTGCTGCAATCATGTGGTTTGATGAAGTTGGGGATAGCTGAGCTCAATTCAAGAGGTATTGTACAATGACAGGATGCTGGGAAGATGGGAGGTATAGAGCAAGTGTTTGGAATGGCTGCAGCACAAGCCGTGTGTGGAATCAACCAGAGGGAAGGGAAGCCTGGAGGCAACTGCAGTCTCAGTGCCCTGCTGGGCAGTGCACGGGGCACAGCAGTCCACATACTTGTGAGGAAAAGGAATTGGAATGACCTAGAGTGAGTTTTTAAGGTGATTAATCTCAGCAGTGGTAGGTAAAACAGATTAGACTGGAGAGAGATTGGAAACCATTTAGGAAACTATTGAAACAGTACAGGGCAGCAGTAATAATAGTGTGCAATAAGAGTGGATGAGATGGGATAAAAAGTGAAAGAGTGGGCACAAGGCCTTAGCAAAGGATTTCAAGTCACTCGACTGTTCTGGAAGCAAGGAAAGGTGGAGCACAATGATTTTTTTTTCCCTACTGCTAAATCACACTTGCTATTTTAAATAAAATCTTCATTACATAATTTAAGATTGCAGCGGTGTTACAATAATACTGAAGTTTTCTCTAAGTTCTTTCAAAGTTACTACTTAATTCTACTATTAATACATTTTTAAAAGGTTTTCTTAATTTTGTTAGAATTTTAATTGAAAAGTAATACATATGCAAAGCAAAATTCCAAATGGTACAAAGTAGTGCATGAAATGAAAGTTCCTCTCTCACCTATGAGCCTCTATCCTGTATTCTAGAGGCAACTGGAATAATTCTAAAATATTGCTCAAAAATGTTCTATGCATTTAAAAGCCTATGATACACACATATTTTCTCTTTTGAACCAAATGCATTTCAATTTTCATTTTCTCCTGTATTTTCCTAACGCTTTCTCTAATTTAGGGTTTCTCATCCTCTTAGTAAATCTAGCTGTTAGGTCTTTCTCTCCATAAATTCTTCATGCTCCTTATATCATAATCATTTCTTTATTTTTCTGACATATAACTCTTCTCACACTATCTGCCCAACTAACAGTTGTTTAATGAAAAGAATAGATACATCATGAAAGATGATATTATACATTCTTAACACCATGAGATTCCCATTAAAGTAGAAAGTAACAAACAAATGCATGCAAATAATTTTCCTGAGTTCTTGTGAGGGTTAGTCAGATTTGTAGACACTGTAGTCATCAGGATTTTCATGTTATTTGGAGAGTGAGAAAAACTAACCATATGAAAAGTATACTGGTAATATAAGGCAGAGAATATGGTGTCCAAATAGATGATGCTAAGATAATTGCTATTGATTTAGAAGAAGCAGAGAGGCATGTGTTATAGTTATGACAACAGTTCTTGAATGAATGATTCATAAAATAATGAGAGAGAGAGACTGTATCAGCTGGAGTGGTTGGCATGTTAGATCTACCAACACTCAGGCAAAAGTAATCATTTAAGAATCAAAGATATTGAGGGGGGGGAGAGGTAGGGGGCGGAGTGGGTGGTAAGGGAGGGGGTGGGGGCAGTGGGAGAAATGAACCAATCCTTGTATGCACATATGAATAATAAAAGAAAAATGAAAAAAAAAATGGGATGAGATAAAAAAATCTTCTAAGAAGTGATTGAATTATAGACTTACTATAGTTGAATTTTATGGTATGTAAAAATCTTCCTCAATAAAATTATTTTAAAAATTAAAAAAAAAAAAAAAGAATCAAAGAAATGTTAAGAGGTTTGCCTTAGATCTCTCATCAAGTGAGCCCAAAGACCTGGACTGGATGGTGTTTAGGAATGGCAAATAATGGATTTATCTAATGCTTTTAGGAGGCAAATATTCCAAGAAATGTCATAAACAAGGTAGGCCTAAATAAACCTCTTCCTTTTCTCCATTCCTTTCATCCTTCTGAGAGAATTTACTGGGTGCCAACTCAGTCACAGACCTGTGCCAGACACTGGGAATAGAACTATGAACAGGATCCTCAGAAGGATCCCATCCTTGTGGAATTTTGATCAAACAAAAGGAGAGTGTGGGAATTCTCTAGAAGATTCTAGTGTTATTTCCATATCTCCATAAGGTACATTTATGTTCTATTGTCTCTTCACATAGTAAAGGCAATTAAAAATTACCTTATAAACCTTCCAAATGTTTCAGAAATTATAACCTACACTGACCACAATAATTGATTTGCTACTGCAATTCTACTCTCTCATGACTGAGAGGTAGCAGATATTGTATTTGGGTAAAATAATCACTTGGATGTTTGGGTGAGACAGTGAGGGATCGCTAATCAAAATGAAAAGACAGTCATGTTAAGAAACCAGAATGTAATTATCCAGTTGGAATTCAGCCAGTGTGGTAAGATAGATTCATTCAATTCTTAGGGAAGAGAACATATTAGCACTTTTAAATTATGCTATGCTTCAACTACGAATATATTTCTGACTCAGGTACAAAGATACCATGTGACCTTTTGAATATCTATCAGTCCTACCTTCTTGATAACCCCACTGAGGGATTTAGAGCTCTAGAACTTGGATATAAGCCCTGAAAACATTTACTCAGGAAAAATTCATTTCTCTGTGTGGACAGGAACATTTATATAGTAGACATTTAGGAAAGCTCTATTAGTACTAAGGGCATAAGCTCTCTGAACTAGGAGTAGAAGTTGTGGTATCAAATATATCAGAATCAAATCATTGCCGGAAGCTGGGTGCTGTTTAGAAAACAACCTGTGCTATCTGAAATCTGGGAGAGCAAGGAATTTTTCTGATTACAGAGTCCTTTAACATTTCTAGAAAGCTACGATCTCTCTTTTTGCATGCTCACAAGAGTACACACACACACACACACACACACAAGTACATATACAAATACATGCACACACATGTGCATGCATGTAAGCAATTTGAGAAGTGGGAAATGGACATCTATTTTCCTGCTGTTTGCTTTCATTAATAACTTATTAATTAATTAATTAATTAATTTGTAGTATTGGGGTTTGAACTCAGGGCCTCATGCTTGCTAAGCAGGTACTTTACCACTTGAGCCACACCTCCAGCCCTATTTTCCTGATTTCAATCCAGGTTTCATAAGCACTAGGTCAGACAACTTGATTTTCTGGAGGCTGCTAATTCAGAAGAAGAAACATAAGAACTACTAAGGAAACTTCTATCATCTCAGTGCTCTCTAGCTGAAAAATCAGGTTCAATAAAATTGCATATAATAATAAGACCTTACAAGCTCAGTTTCTTTTGTCTTAATATGTATCTCGCTATGTCTTATCAGCAAACTGATACTATTTTATCCCTGTTCCATACAAATGATAGAATATCATCATTATATCAGCTTACTGAGCTTTAAGCTTACTGTTACCTTTCTTTTATTTATTTATTTATTTTGGTGATACTGAGGTTTGAACTAGGGCCTCATGCCTACTAAGCAGGCATTCTACCACTTGAGCTGCTCCTCAGCCCTTTTGCTTTAGTTTTGTTTGTTTTTTTTTAATAGGGCCTTATTTTTTTTGCTCTGGGCAAGCCTGGATCATAATCTTCCTATTTAAGCCTCCCACATGCTGGGATTATAAGCATGATTACTCATTAATGTTGACTTTCTTCAGTGATAAAGTTCTTGGGATCTAACCACTTAAAAAATATATCCAAAGGCACTTTAAATATTCTAAAGGATTTAATACTACTAACATTTTACAAATTTTTTATACTGAACAATTTAGGGTATCTGAATCCAATAACTCAATTGGATTTAGGAGGTAGTTAAAATAAATTACTTATACCTTAATGTGCCAATTCACTTTGAAGTTATTTCTTTAAAACACTTGTCTTTTATTGAAGACTTAAGAAAAGGTTTACATCATCTCACTGGGAATTCTTTATTGTTTTAAAAAGAATTGTTGGTCTAGTTCTCAAAGGACTTCTCTTCCTTCTTTCCTATATGATTTATTACCATAGGATATATTGAGTTATTCAGTCAACACATTGATTGATGTGTACTCTACTAGGCATTATATCAGACAGGATGTAGAATTGAAAGATGTATAATGTAAGTCTTCTGGAGAATATAATCTATTATCAAAGGTAAGACATGAACCAGATAATATAAACTTAATGTTATCACTGTGTTTATAGCTTTGCTTGTAGAAGTTAAATATGCTTCTTGCAAGGGTTATGTGGCAAATGACAACTGTAGTTTACCTCAGAACTTTATAATAATTAGAGGATTTTTCACATCATTATTTAAAAAGCTTTTATGGAATACCATTTAAAAAAATTGTTATTTATTTCTTACCTGACAGTCCTGTCAAATTTGCATTCTTGATGAAAATTTCAGTTATTCCAAGAGTTTTCAAAATGTCTTTTAAATCAAGTTCCTGTTCCACTGTGAACCTGAAGAATATATTGGGGGGAAAGTACTTAGTTACTCTGTCTTCTTACCTGGGTCAAGAATGAAAGCATTAAATATGGTGAGTATAAGTTTATTTTATAAAGGATACATTACATTAAAACTGGTTTTTAACTGCAAGAAACATTTGGCTGTGGTTATAAAAAAAGGGCATCAAAGATAATGATGTAATAGGTTTTAAATTTGTAGTTAAAAATGTTTGTTTTAGACACAAAATGTATGATAGAAAAATGAGTTTTATATGATGGAGAAAAGACAGATAATTCAACAAATGTTGCTGGGAAGAGTGGTTATATGCTTACAGAAAACTGAAATTAGATCCAGGCCTGTCACCCTGTACTAGTATCAACTCAAAGTGGATTAAGGACTTTAATATCAGACCCAAAACCTTGAAGTTAGTACAGGAAAGAACAGGAATACTCTGGAAGCAACAGGAATAGGCAAGGACTTCCTCAATAGATTTCAAGTGGCCTAGCATCTAAGAGAAAGGATGGACAAATGGGACTACATGAAATTAAAAAGCTTCTGCACAACAAAAGAAATGGTCTCTAAATTGAAGAGACCACACATAGAATGGGTTATCAGACAAGGGACTGATAACCAGAATATACAGGGTGCTCAAAAACACGAAACTCTCTCAAAATCAATGAACCAATAAAGAACTGGGCAACTGAACTAAACAGAACTTTATCAAAGGAAGAAGTCCAAATGGCCAAAAAACACATGAAAAGATGTTCACCAGCCCTGACCATAAAGGAAATGCAAATCAAAACCACCTTAGATTCCACCTCACTCCTGTTTGAATAGCTAACATCAAGAACAACACTAACAACAAATGTTGGCAAGGATGCGGGGGAAAAAGGAACCCTCATACACTGTTGGTGAGAATGTAAGCTGTAAGCTAGTATAACCACTTTGTAAAACAATATGGGGGCTTCTTAAAAAACTAAACATAGATCTGCCATATGATCCAGCAATACCACTCCTAGGGATACACCTGAAGGAATGAGATTCAGGTTACTCCAGAGGCACCTGCACACCCATGTTTATTGCAGCACTATTCACAATAGCCAAGCTATGGAAACAGCCAAGATGCCCCACTACCAACTAATGGATCAAGAAAATGTGGTATTTATACACAATGGAATTTTACTCAGTCACGAAGAATGAAATTTTGACATTCCCAAGTAAATGGACGGAACAGGAGAAAACCATCTTAAGTGAAGTTAGTCAGGCTCAGAAGGCCAAAAATCACATGTTCTCCCTCATATGCAGATTACAGACCTAAAACAAATGCAGTAATATTATTGGACATGGTCACACACTGAGGGGAGTATGTGCATGGAAGGGATAGGGAAAGGGAAGGAAACCTAAAACTTGAATGTGGTTGATGTGGTCACTATAGAGGTGCAAATATAATAATCTTGAACTGGCAGAGGCCACTATGGGAAGGGTACTAAGTAGTGAAAAGGTCTAGTAGCGATGAACCAATGTGGGTTGCAATAAACATGTGCATGGAAGCAACACTAGGAATCTCTCTGTGTCTTTATCTCAAACTAGCAAAAACACCGTGTCTTTCTTATTATCTCTTATGTTTTCTCTTCAACAAAATCAGAGAACAAGAGGGCGGAACAGGTTCTGTCTAGAAGTGGGGTGGGTTGGGGAGGGGCCAAACAATGTATACACATGTGAGTAAATGTAAAAATGATAAAAAAAAATGAGTTTTGATACAAAGAATTACTAAGTACAATGTGAAAGTTGTGAGTAGTTTTCAATATCTTTTGACCTAGTAAGCAACGTATGTGATTTTCTAAGCTGGTAATGACTAATCATAAATTTACCCAATCCTGGTCAGTTTATGCTTCCCATCCACCTCTTAGTGACCATGGTTAGGTCCATAATACCTACCACATTAAAAATGTACCTGAAGTTCATGATTATATTAAACTCTAGAACATAAATAATCCTGTTTTCATGATCTGATCATAGAAAAACTATCATGACAGTGATTTTAATCATTGTCTTAAAAACTGTAGCTTTTTTCAATTATAGTAGAGTGTTTCTTAAACAGAATGATAATGGTTTTTATTATTTTCTTTAATGATCTGGTAATTATTGTACACAAATATGAATCAATTTGGCAAGAAGATATAAAACATTAAGTATCTTGGCTGGAGACAGGATCATATTTATAAAAAATGGTTTCTATAGTAAGCCAGATTGGTTATCACAGGATTTTCCCAAAAGAGAATGCTTAGAAAAATACAGAGAATCTCAGAGAATATATTAGAAAGCCTAAGGTGTTCATGTGTATATACATATTTTCTGTTATTTTTATTTTTGAACAATTATAAGAAGATTACTTTGTATCAGGAACTGCTCCAAGAGTCTATAAAACAAAACAACTTAAATATTATCACAGCCCTGTGAGATAAGTATTATTATTATCTTCAGGTAATAGAAAAACAAAAGTGAGGTACAGAAAGATGAAATACCTTGATCAAGATCAAGGTCATACAGCTGCTAGGTGGCAGAGAAGGGATGTGTATTCAGGCAGTAGTGTATATGTCTTGAATCATCTAAAATAGGAAATACCAATAGGGGGTTCTTTTTAACTTCTTTAAAGTAACTTTATTTGTTTCACACTTCTGTGGATGTCTGATCAGGCAAGGATGAGTAATTTATCCAACTGAACTAATGTGAATTCCTTAACTTCAGAGCCTTGGTTTTAGCATGTGAAAAATGGCAATACTAATCTGTACTTGATAGTATTGTTAGAAGGATTAAACAAGACTTCTAAAAGTCTTAGAATAGTGTTAGACTGCAGGAGGCATGCAAAAAAGAGCAGATACTATTAATACTAGTTACCATACTGCAGTTATGTAGAACACGCCACATCAGAGATAAGATGATATATATTTGCATTTTAGTAGTAGTTGGAGTAATTGTATTAAATAGCTATATTGATCCTGCACTTTCACCAAAAGTCAGTCCAATCTCTTGTCTTATTCATTTTAATATCTGTAGTTATCTGCCACAGGACAAACCACTAGGTTGAAGCAAACTAAGAGCTAGGTGTTTCATGAAGAAATGCTCACCATCCCTGGCCATAAAGGAAATGCAAATCAAAACTGTGTTAAGATTCTATGTCACTCCTGTTACAATAACTATCACCAAGAATACAAACAGCAACAAATGTTGGCAAGGATGTGAGGAAGAAGGAATCCTTATACACCATTGGTGGAAACGTAAATTAGTACAAGCACTATGGAAAACAATATGGAGGCTCCTCAAAAGACTAAAAATAGAGCTGCCATATGATCCAGCAATACCACTCCTAGGGATATACCAGAAGGAATGTAAGTCAGTTTACAATAAAGGTACCTGCACACCCATGTTTATTGTAGCATTATTCATAATAGCTAAGCTATGGAAACAAGTAAGATGCCCCACTACTGATGAATGGATTAAGAAAATGTGGTATTTGTATACAGTAGAATTTTATTCAATCATAAAGAAGAATGAAACTGTATCGTTTACAGGTAAATGAATAGAACTGGAGGACGTCATTTTAAGTGAAGCTTGCCAGGTTCAGAAAGCCTAAGGCCACATATTTTCTTTTATATGTGGAATATAGACCTAATACAAATATTATATTTGTATTATACAAATATATATTGTATATGCAATATTATGAAGAACAGATCACACTAAGGGCAGGTCACACATGAGAGAAGGTGGGTAAAAGAAAGAAGTTAAGAAGGTGAATATGGTTGATGTACTTCCTACACAAGAATGAATATAGAATTTTTAAACCTGTTGAAATCACCATAAGAAGGGGACTAAGGCAGAAAGGAGAAAAAAAATTAGAGGAGATGAACCAATTTGGGTTATAATGCTATATACATGGAATGTCACAATGAAATACCCTGTATAGCAATCTTAAACAAACAAAAATGTCACTTTTTTTCACAAAAACGGAGAACAGGAGGCGAAACAGGTCCTGTCTGGGAGGTGGGTACGAGTGGGAGGGGGAGGATATAAGGAAAGGGTGTAGGAGGTGAATGTGGTGGAAATGTTATGGACACATGTATGAAAATGGAAAAATGAGACCTGTTGAAACTATTCCAGGAATAGGGGGAGGAGGGATAAAGGAGAATGATGAAGGGAGTGAATTCAACTATGATATGCTGTAAGAACTTTTATAAATGTCACAATGTATCCCTAGAATGACAATAATAAAATATATGCTATAATTATAAATTTAAAATAATCTAGGTGTTTATAAGGTATTTTTTGTTCCAAGTTAAAGACAGGATTAAGAAATCCCCACTTGTCCATTCCATGTCTGTTTTCCCTTACCAAACCATTGAAAATAGCTATTACTCAATTATCATCTTTCTCCTGTTACTACAGACCAATGTTAAAATATATCATCACCTCCCATAGACACAGTGCTTACTATATTCCAGGCACTATGAAAATCAATGAATTTTACATATAGTACCTAATTTTACCATTCATTCTTATGCTTCTAATCAACTCCATAGGTGGTATTCTCTAGACTGCAGAAAAATAAGATGAAACTTAAAAAACCTAAGCAACTTGCTTTGTGAGGTAGGTATTATTAGAGGTGGAAAAATGAGGATATGAACTAAGATCTTTCTGACTGCAATGCCCACCAAATACTCTAAAGTTTTTTAAGGCAGCATTTAAAGCTCTGTGTAAAAGCTCTGGTACAACTGAAAGCAAAAGAAGCTGTCAAGCAGAGCAGGAATGCGGTCAAATTAAAGAAATGCAAGCTTGAATTTTCAGAATAGTATCTCTACATGAATAAAACCATATAAATCATTAAAAACTGATACTCAAATAAACTTAGAATCTAGTCATTAGAAACATTTTTACCTTAGCTAAAACTGGGTCACACAATCCATTACCTTCATTGAGTGGATCCCAATGCTGTAAAATGGAGAGGATGGATAATTTCTTACTAATGACTACAATGCATACATATTTGAAAGCAGTCAATCTGTTCAAAAGGGAAACTAAATTTATCTGGTCTAGCTATTTGCCTTCCTATCTGTGCATTAGTCATGCAGAGAGAGAATTCATAAAACTCTGGGAAAAATGGAGACATAGTAATTAGCTGTGCCTAGTTTAGTAACAGTCATTAATATGAGCAAGCAAGCTAAACTATTTCATAATTGAAGAGAATCTTTTAGAAAATGAAAATTTAATTTTCTTCTGCTGTTACTTTCAATTTCTCAGTGGACAGGACCCGGAGGCCACATTTTTTCTAGTGAACATGGATGAATTAGAATATATGATACTTCTTAAACATTCATTTAGAATTCTGTTAAAATACTCCTAAGTAACTTCGCATTTTAACAGAATTGAAGCATTTGGAGACACTGCAGTTATCTTATAGAATTTAACATGGGAAGCATTAATGCTGTACTGAATTTCTCATATTATTACAAGGAATTCCCTACAAAATGCAAGGAAAATACAAAATTAATGATAAAAGATCACCAGATGAGGGTTAAAATGGATTAAATAATTTACAAGTTTAGACCTGACTTGGAGAATAATTCAAATTCAATTATTAATGTTCAAAATAAATGATTCTTTGGAACTGATACACTGCTCATATATTAAGCATGTAAATATCAGTTACCATATCTTTTACAAATAAATTAGATATTCATTGACCACTTTTTGAGAAATCACTTGGAGTGGAATATTTCTATATAAATATATTCTCATAGAAAGCATTGTATGCTAAATATCTTAGCCAAAAAGAAAGAAAATATTTGGGTTGTAAGCAGACTAAGAAATATATAGCTATATAATATGTATGGTTACATATTAAGACTATAAAACATGACATAGTTTTCTAGCCAAAAATATCTATAGTAAAAATATCTATAGCTCCAAATAAATCTCCTTTATTAACATGAGGAATCTACCAGCTAAGTTTTTTAAAAAATAGGCATTTACATAAGATATACCTTTTAAATGACAATTTCTGGAATTAGAATAAATATGAAGAAGTTAGTGCATTTTTAAGAATTTAGCTTTATTATTTATGTTCATGTAATAATAATACCTGAATAATTTTTATGAAACTAATCATATTTGAACAATTTTCTTAATTTGGAATGAGTATTAAACTGTACTGCCACATAAACACATATATTAATCTGCTGTTCATTGGTGTATTTTGTTTTCTAGCCTAAATTTGTGTTATGTTTATGAACATGTATGCGTTAATTGCTCTAACTTTGCTATAAGGTTTTAAGGCAGTTAAAGACAGTATAAACCTTTGGTTTCATTTTATGAACACTTACTGTGTTCCTATCCTGGGGAGAAAACCAGCTCCACCGTCGAAGAACTTACAGAAGGAAAGCAAGACCAAAAAAAGGTAATGCAATGATGGGTTGGTAATAGGTAATGAGAAGGAGGTGCAAAAGTGAGGTAAGTGTGAGGGCCACCTGCTCCCTCATGCAGTTCATGGAAGGCTTCTTAGAAGAATTGGTGTCAGAGCTGACCTTGAAGGCTAGGGAACCATTATCTGGCAAAGAAATGTGAGGCAAAGTAATTTTAGGCCAGTGCAAGAATATAAATAGAGACTCAGAGACATGAAAAGAATGTGATGTAGGTGGTATAACTATAGGAAAGGGAAAGGGCATGCTACAAAATGCTGGTGTGTTGAGTGGCCAGAGGTAGGGTTGAGGAAGTGAACTGTAGTCAGGATATTAAAGGCCTTGCATAGATTTCATTCTTTCCACCACAGGGAGGATTTTGAGTAGAGTTGCTTCTTCTTCTTGTTTATTTAGCACCTAGCACAGGACTTGCTTGTGGTTCTTCCAACAATACCAGTGATTGTTTCCCTATAGCTATAATTAACTTCAGTAACAAAATACAAATGACTGTCAATGCAAATGATACTCAGAGACTACCAATTGAAAAATCTTCTGAAATGAAGCTGAGACTATTGATTCATATCTGAACCTAGGTCTTGGTATACAAGTACTGTGTGAATTAATGAATAAACGTGCCTCTGCACAAGACTATGTGAGTACAAAAGAATACTCAGAAGACAAGGAAAAAGAGGAACAGGAGCAGAGAAGGAAGAAGAGGGGAGAAGGTGAAGGAGGATAACATTGAGTATTCAAAAGCATTAACAAGACTTTTATGGGGTACAACCTTCCTTGAAAGACCTCCAAGCTGTGGGAGAGGTTACACAGAAGCCTCTCACCTGGGCAGGTATACTTCTACTTTTTGCTTCTTCACAGAGTTTGCCCATTCTTCAATCAGCTGTGCTTTGACCAATGGCTCCAGAGTGGCCAGTGGAACTTCCTGTCTTGACAGTACCAGCATCATGCTTATCTCATCTCCCTCATATGGTATTTCTAGCACTTGGTAGATACCACCAGCTTCATTGGAGCCATCACTAAATTCCCCTAAAAAGGAAAGAAAAGTTCCACATCCAAGATTTTTTTAGAAGGTTTAAACTTGTTATAACTTTCTTTGAAAAATACTGTTTAGAAAACAGGTTCATTTGAAAATAGGCCCTGAAATGACATGAATACTCAATCCTGAAAAAATTTACTATACTTTAGAATCCTAAGAATTACTTCACAGTTGTACTAACATGTTCCTTAGACTTATTTTTTTTTAATTTTTAAATGAGACAGTTCAATATATTTAAAGCATATCATCTGGTTGGAAAAATATAGCCTTGGTTCCAAGTTAGACATAAATTGTACTTACCAATATCCACTTGATTGCTAAGAAGGCAATATCCGAATATGTAATACCTGCCACTCTAATATCACCACAACCAGAAAATTTGAGGCCAAGGTTGCACTGCTAAAATGAAGTGTAAGCATCTTACAATAGTTGTCATGTGTATTTGTGATGACTAAGACCTGAAATTAGGTAATTAGATAAATGAGGTAATTCACTTTGTGTTCTGTGAATGCAGACAAATTATCTAGGCTGGTATACATAAATACAAATGGTCTTTAAAAAAACTCTCTACTACTACCTTAAAATTTCTCTATTTTCAAAAAACATATAATATTTTTGTTATAAACATTTCCTATAACATTTGGAGGTTTTCAGATATTACACTAAACATTTTGAGTTTTATATAAATGGGTATTGTCCTTCCATATTTTGACTGCTAACTTGATTAGCTGTGGTTTAGAGTCTTTTTAAATTACAATATACTTTTAAATAAAATAACCTATTAATTCTAACATATACTTGGCTTACAATTACATTTCTGCTTATGACTTAACAAATTACTACAACACAACTTAGTGTACTGGGAGAGTAACACCTTAAGCTTCTGAAGAACCCAATAAAATAATGTCAAAGATAGTTCCCTGTGTCGCATATTTTGTTTTCTCAATAATAATAGCATTTTAAGCCAGAACAAGAATCAGAATGAAGATTCAGAGGCATGAAAAGATCATGATGAATGTGGCATAACTATGAATAAACCATGAATGAACAATTATGTCTGAAATTGAAATTTTTAAGGAAAATAATTCTTGTGTGAGAAGAATGCTTGTAACTCAAAGAGTGGTAAGGACCCTAAATCAAGTGCTCGGTGAACCATACAGCTGAAAACCACCCCAAAGCCAAGGATTTTGTGGTGTATGTCAGAGTGTTCTTGGACAATGTCAGCTATTTTAGATGAATAAAACCACTGAGCAGGTGTCATCAGCTTCATACATTGGAAAACTATCAATGCCTATAATATCCACTTAAGATCTAATTACAAGCCTTCAAAAATACAACCAAAGAAATTAAACTGTAGGCCCAATCATACTGACAAAGAGGTTGAGTAATGAATACTTCATATTATTTTTCTTGTTTGCTCTTGGTGGTACTAGAGTTTGAACTCAGGACTTTGCTCTTGCTAGGCAGGAGCTCTACTGCTTGAGCAATCCCTCCAGCCCTTTTGTCTCTGGTGATTGTTGAGATTGTGTCTCGTCTTTTGCCCAGGCTGGGCTGGACCATGATCTTCCTATTTTAAGCTTTCCGCTGTTACTGGGATGACAGGCACATACCACCATGCTCAACTTTCTTCCGTTGAGATGGCGGTCTCACAAACTTTTTTGCTTGGGCTAGCCTGAAACCACTGCCCTCCCAATCCCAGCCTCCTGTGTAGGTGGGATGACAAGTGTATGCCACTGCCCCCAGTTATTAGTTGAAATGGGGGTCTTGGAACTTTTTGCCTGGACTGGCTTGGAACTGCAATCCTTCTAATTTAGCCTCTCAAGTAGCTAGGATTACAAGAATGAGCCACAGATGCCTAGGTTTCATGTTATTTCTTAAAGATTTGTTGATATGCTATAAGAAGAATGAAATAAAACCCCAAATGTATTACCATAATAAAATTCTCCTTGTTGATACATCATTGGAATTTGGACTTCACTTTCATCATCTTTAGTGAAGGAAAAAGTTCTGGTATTCTCAGGTCTAAACTGTGACTTCCAGTTTCCCTTGAAATAGACAGCATTGATGAGGGCCAGATGAGTGGCAGCATCAAAATCCTGTGGGGACACCAAGTCTTTCAACAGATCTATTCAGAGAAAAATGAACAAAGGAAAATTCACATGAAGTTGAAAAGTGAAGGGGGGATCCAAAGATTAGCAAATTGCTAATTTATGATAAAAATAAAAGGTATCTTACTTGCAAAGGAAAAGTTGCACACACACACACACACACACACACACACACACACACACACACACACACACAATTACATAATTAGCAATTAAGGGCATCCAAAACGACCACCAAAAATAATACTAGTAGCATCCTGACATGTAAACTACAGACCCACATACTAAGGAATCTCAGACTTCACCACTTCCAGTTGCAATGATACACAGAAAATGTTTCAAAGTTTATTCTTGAACAATGTACATGATTGTTGTCCTGTTCAAACTCCCCCTCCATGAATATTGGACATCTTTCTACCAAAACAACAACTGCTTTTAAGTAGGTTTTAAAACAGATGAGTGAAATGCAGGTTAACTCATAATGAATTATTTTCTATCATTTGAATTGTTCCTTTGAAAATCTACTTTGAAAGATAACGGGTCTTGGCTGATTGCTAAACGTGTATAAAAGAGTTTGGAAACTAACAGACTTTAATAATGTAGTGTATGTCAGGCCAACAAGCCCAGGACCATCCTCAGACCCTGATCCTCCTACCTGTGCCTCATGAGTAGCTGGGATTATGCCCAGCTTGGCTGTGATGGGGTCTTGCTAACTTTTTGCTCAAACCATCATCTGGGATTACAGGCATGAGCACAGTGCCTGGTCTAGATTATTATCCTTGATTTATTATATGAATGCTGAAAAAAGTAAATATAAGCTTCTTTTAATCCTAAAACTTAATCTGGTAATTGAAAAGTATAAGACCAAAGTATGCTCTTTGTTCTCTTATTTTATTAGTCATAGCACTTGTTAAAGTGGAAGATGCCTTAGAATTTTTTGAACTATAAGATACAGTGTATTTGATTAGGTGTTTTTGTTCTAACATAAAATTTTAGATAAACTTTTTTTGAATTTTGACATTATGATTCCATTTAATGAACAGCTATATTAATCTGCTTTTAGTTGAATATTTTAGAGTCTGATTTCAATTACATTGCTGGCAAAATTTGAAAATAAAATGATAAAACATGAAACATCTTAAAATCACAAATATATTTAAAATGTGAATTAGAAATGAAATTTAAAATACATGTATCTCATTCAGATTCTTCTCTGTTTATGTGGCCTTAAAATGGGCTTCCCTTTAACGAATAAACCTTAGTATTTTTATTACCAGTCAATAAATGTGGTTGTAAAGCTAATAATCATCATTAAAATTCTGGTTTTTCTCTCCCTTATTCTGTTTTAATCATACTGTTAAAAGAGTCACCAAATGCCATTCTGTCTGGTAACTATCAAATAGTCAGCTCAAGCAAAAATCCATACACTAGTCAACGTTACTAGCAGAGGAAGCCCATCAACTAGACAGTACAGGGTTCATGATCATTGCCAAAGTTGTGTACATGTCAACAGGTTTTAATTTCTTCAATATTCTTCCATAAGCTATGTTTCTAAAATGGACCATAATCTGTGGAAAATAACCACTAAACATCCAATTTAATGCTATGTAATAGTCACACTGCAAAAGGAGTGAGGAGACAAATGCTTTTAAAAATGAACGAAGGTTAAAACTAGGCGACTAGAGAAAGAAAGGACGTACTATTTGTGTTGTTTTCCACCCACTTATTAATGTGATTGGCCACGGCTACATTTTGACTGAAGTCCACATTATTTACTTTTGCATTAAAGTATTTTTTCATCATTTGCAAAAACTCTTCATTGACATGAAATCCATTCTGCACAAAGAGGGAATTGGCAATTTTCATCACATACTGACTCTCTTCAGTGGTGACCATGTTAGAAAAGTCCTTCAAGATAGAAAATTCTTCACCTGCAAGAAGACAAAGAACAACTTTGTTAGTGGTGAAAGATCAAGGAAAGTGAAAGAGTATTAAAGCCCAGAGGGACAACTTGAGGACAGGGCCCAGGGAAAAGGAGCAGGCTTTATTTCTTACACTGATATGGTGAGTCCTCCCTTCCCCCCTGCCTTCTTTTACAATGCTGGGGATCAGCACTCTTTTACATGCTAGGCAAGTGCTCTACCACTGAGCTACATTCCCAGTGACACCATTTTTCATTTCATTGTTACCTTACTAGAATATGCAAAGTACAGATTCTTTTAAGTTGTTTTCTTTCAGTGTACTAAGGTTATTTTTATTAGTCTTATTTTAATTTATAATTATATATAATATAACATATAATTATCAGGAATAATTCAGTTTAATTACCTAATTTAAAATTTAAGCTGGGCACTGGTGACTCACACCTGTAATCCTAGCTACTCAGTAAGCAGAGATCAGGAGGATTGTGGTTCGAAATCAGCCCAGGCAAACAGTTCACAAGACCCTATGTTGAAAAAAACTATCACAAAAAAGGCTGTTGGAGTGGCTCATGGTATAGGCCCTGAGTTTAAACCCCAGTATTGCAAAATAAATTAAAAAAAAAAAAGATAAAATTTAAGACAATACTTTAAATTTTACTCTCACTAAAATTTTGTCTTATAACTGAAAAAAAAACATTATAACTTGTTTTATTTCTTAACTCTGTAATGAATTAATTCATATCCATTTGAGATGCATCAAGATAGAAATCATTCATCATGCCCAAATGATTACAAATATCTTTTAACAGAAATTATCCCTCATATAAATAATTTTTATAATGATATAACATGAAGATACAATTGATTTAAAGCAATGATGCCTCATATTGTTTGAGAGCCATGTTGCCCTTCCTTATACCACTCATCATATTTGCAATTGTCTATTTATTTATATAATAATTGATTAATACAGGCCTTTTCTGCTAGACTGGAAACTCCAGAATTAGTTGTGGCTTTGTCCATCACAGTGGGGTTTATTTAAATAACAACAATTTTGAAAAGACATAATTTCCTTAGATTCACTCAGTCATAAATGGAAGCAGGAATTGGCACCCTCCTTGTTTCCTAATCATTCTTCTAGCCATATTATCTCAATGAGATCATTTCTTGCCCTGAGTAAATACTGCTGCCTCTGGCATGTGGCAACATAACTGAGTTCAAAGATAAAGTCAGCTTGAGATATCAAACCCAAGCACACTTACCATTTTTGAGGCTGTCATAGCCCATTGAATGGCGAATTTCTTTCAGAGTAGATCCTTGAGCCCCAAGTTCCATCATTCCCATCGCAAGGGCAATGCTCAATGGAGAGAAGAGAATATTTTCATCTTCCCCAGTGGCTCGAAGATGGTTATACATATTCACTGACAACTCAGCAATGGTGTCATCATGGAAAGTGGTCCCTACCGACATGCTTTGCAGAACCAGCAGGGAGAACAGTCCAAGGAAAGCCATACTGGACTAGTTTCAAGTCTAGAAAACAATAATTTATGTTTATTAATTATCTCAGGAAATAGAGTAAAGGTGAAAATATATAGAATTATTTCTTGGCAAACTTGTACAGTGAATCAAACACTTTAATATACATATAGTATTAACAATATTTTATAACAAAAACCACATTAAAGGGCATGTTGGAAAGCCCTTTTTCTTCTCTGTGTCTGGCTCTCTCGGTATCTGTCTCTCTTTTGGTCCCTCTGTCTCTCTCTCTCCTTCTCCTTCATTCTGGTTATTGAAGCTTGAAGCCAGTGCCACATGCATGCTAACCACATGCTGTTCAACTGATCTAAACCTTTACTCCAAAAGTTCTATTTTTATAGTTCAATTAATAATCCAGTGAACAAATAACATAAGTTTTGAAGCTTCTCCCAAGAACAAGATAACCATGGTCTTGGGTCCATGAATTGAGACATTTTAAGTCATGTTTGGTGAGGCTAGTTAATTAATTTTTCATTACCTCACTACAAATATTTGATCATGATTTTGAACCAAATCACCCCAGCTTCCACTAAAGTGAATAGGTTCTGGATAAACTGTGATGAAACCCAGATGTTCCACAGGTTGACATGCACTAGTGCAGATAAGCATAGAAAATGCTACATTATCCATTTACTACAACTTATGAATTAACGCACCTTACAGCTGAGTTACCACCTGATGGAAAAAGATCTCTCTCTGTGTCTGTCTGTCTGTCTCTCTCTCTCTCTCTCTCTCACACACACACACACACACACACACACACACACACACACACCTGCCACAAGTCCCAGTTTATTTAGCCCAGGGTGCAGAACACACAGGAAGTGGTAACCCACAGAAAGTGCAGACTCAGCCCATCCTTGTGGGTTGCTCATCACACGCTGGTTGTCTATGAGTTCCTGCTCTCTTTGAGTAGGGAGGAGCCTCCTACCAAATTTGAGAATGAAATCAAAGTTGAGAATGAAGACAACTCCTTACTACAACACCGTCCTTTTATTCCCAAGCTTACATTAACATTTCAGTTTGCTCCAACAACGAGAGATTTTACTTAAATGGCTATTTCTATCAGGATCGACTGGTTATTGAACCAAACTGAAGAGCTCAGAAGCCAGGTTTTCTCTAGGGAAGACAGAGCAGCATTATGCACGTATATCTCTGAATAATATTTCTGTCTTTCAGCAGGTCATTATTCTAGAATCTCTGTCTTCTCATAAACAGTCTGACTTGCACACAGTGGGGACATGTTTCTCTCTTCTCTCTGTATTCTCCCTCTTTGTAGCTGTAGGCATCTGGAAAGTAAAACTGTTTATTCAAACAATTAAGTAACTTATTTGTTCTTGATCACTTTAAAATCCATCATTAAAACAACACATAAAGAGTTATTGAAGAAACACATCTGGGTTCATGCCCACCCAGGGATGCCAAAAAAAAAAAAAGAAACACATCTGAAAAATTGTATTTTAATTAAGGTTGAGTATTAATAGCCTCCATTAATAAAATAATAGAGTGCACACACATTTAACTGAAGAGCCGTGTATTTCCAATAGGCTTTTGAGTGACAGGACCTTAATCAGTCCTGTAATTTTGTAATTCTAGATTCAGAGACTGCCTGCTCACTTTGTAAGTCATCACATGTTAGAGTTAGATTTACTGCTTGTTTTGGTTAGGTCTGAAAAGTCACCCCTCCACCCCCACTAATTCTGGGGTTTAACTAATTCTGGATCTTTTAGGAAGGCACAGGTCAATGCAGATTCTCACAACCTGTGCTGCTAATGGGATGGCTGCTTCTAGGAGACAAAGTGCCTGCAGCAGGGTCGGCTCTGCTGCAGCACTGGGACAGAAGTCTGTTGTCAAGAGCCCGCTTTCCTTAGGAGGCTGCAGCTGTTGTGGCATTCTTACTTCCTTTGTTACTCCAGAGAACCCCAGGTCCAGGAGGAAATGGCATAGATGGACTACCTCTTTCTAGATTCTAATGGAAATTTAGCAGGTATGCCTCTAAGTTAAAAAAGAATTGAAGATACATCTGATATTTAATTTACATAGTGTAATAACCTTAAATAGAGCTTAAATTCAAGTCAGATTGAAAAGCTGCCCTCTTAACCACTACACTAAACAGCCTGATATGCCATCATAACTTCTACCCTGGGCCTCATGACTTTCAACCAATAAAAAAATAAGAAATTAAATTCACTATATGATAGCTGTATGTCAGTCAATAACATAGCTGTTTAGAAACTACTACAATTAAGATGACTATCAAATTTCAGGGCAATAAAATGATGCTATTCATAGATATAAATGGAGAAATGAGTCCTGCTGAAACTGTTCCAGGAATAGAGGGAGGGGGGATGGAGGAGAATAGATAGAGGGGGGTGAATTCAAGTATGATAATATTTGATATATTGGAAGAACTTTTGTAAATGCCACAATGTCCCCCTAGCACAATAAAAAAAATTTAAAAGGGGGAAAGACACAAAAAGAAAGAGTTAAAAAAAACCAATCTTGTGCCATTCAATATATTCCAGAAAACAAGGTTAGGTCTATTATACATCCATAGGCATTTTCACTTACAAATGAATGTACCATGAGATAATAATAATAATATTTGTTGAGTCCTTATACGGATGATATTATTTAAATTTTATAAGCAGATATTCATTGCCTCCATCTTATAAATACAAATGTAATCTGAGAAGTTAAGAACTTCCCTAATCTCATAGAGAAAATGCCAGAACTGGATACACAGTTCAAGTCATCCTTGTAAGGACTGACAGTAAATGATGCTACTTTTCCAGTTTTTTGAAACATTAAGTGATACTACTTCTCCAGTCTTTGGATAAGTGGGAATCTGTGTGACCTGGGAAAAAGACTTGGATTTAAGTCTCAGGTCATATATCATGCTATATGACCTCCACCAAGTCACACACATTTGCTCAGCCTTAGCTTCATCATTTGTGAAATGGAAATACTCATCTCTACAAAACTATTAAAGAAATGAATGAGACAATATGTGTGTGAAGCTCACATTACACTAATACAGGATGTTATTATGAGAAATATGCTTCCTGGGCATGTGTCAAGTCAAACAAGAGGCTATAGAGCCAGAGTGAGTTTTTATCATCCCTATTGACCAATCTAATTCAGCACCATTATCCATTCACTTTGCCAAGATCGTAGAGGTATCATGAAGACATAAAAATATATCAGAATAGGCTTTTGTTCTAGGGAACTTACATCACTGTGCCAGAGTATATAATCTAGTAGTTTTTTTTTTTTAATCATTTTAAGAAAATAGATCCTTTAAGAATCAGGAGAAGAGTAAATCCACTCTTCAGAAAAATGAATGTGCATGGGTAATACTAAATTACACTCACTGTCCAGGATATACTCTGACCTCATGTTAGTATCCCCAGATCTATGGCGATGGTTCAGATACAGGAAGAGGCAGTGTTTGATGGACCCACCCTCTGCAGGTTTCACTTTCTGGGGGAAACAGATGTCAGAGCCATCTTTAGGTGTGTAGAAGACTCCAGAAAAGAGTGTCTATTATGTTTGTGGGTGAGAGATCTTCTAGGGTCGCTGATTAAAACATTTGCTTGGAAATTAGGAGACAGGCTGCGAATGGAAGACTTTTTTTTAACTGTGGACAGTTAAGTGAACCTTTTGCCTTTGGAAGGCAAGAATTCCAGTTTGCAGGCAAAATTACCACTAGTAGCCTGGTTGAGTCTTTCTGATCATACCTATTCTGCCCATGGTTGCTGACCCCCTGCCCCTCTGTTGCCTGACTACTCCTGAATTTTGGAGGTATTTTTTTGGCTGGTAGCAGGATTTTCTTTCCCATTCTCTCTTGTAAGTATAGATGTTTCCCAGGGATTCAGTTCTGCCCTGCTTTCTTCTCTGTAATACTCTCATGCCTGCTGCTGAACTCTCAAAAACGATATTTCCACTAATAACTCTATTCAGACTATTTCCATAAAAATAAAGTTCTATTCCTGGCTTTATCTTAATTTTTGATATGCACTGCTAATTATTCAGATTTTCGTTCTTTAATTGCTGTGGGTACTTCAAATGTAAGGTGATTCAAACCAGATTCCTTATCAATAAAATTCACTTTTTTTTATAATGGCTGTTTTTGACTCCTCTCCATTACTTTCTTACTCATGTTCAATGAATTGCAAACACTTATTCCATACTGCATCCCTAGCATCTCTCATTATATGATTCCATGGCCACTTCTATTGTCACAGATGCTGATCTTCTTGATGCAGTCTCAGGGACTGTACTAATGGTACCCAGCCATTCTCTGAATCCTTGGTCACTGCTTTCTTCAATCCAACATATGAATAGCCTCCAGATCAACTGCCATGATGTACCATATTCTTATATTTATAAAACCTTAGGCTCTCTCATGCCTGTACACTGAAGGCCATGATCTTTAGTCATGGATATAACACTTTCCGCACTGCACTATCATAAATTTCTTCTTCTGAGGTTTGAACTCAGGGCCTTATGCTTGCTAAGCATATACTCTAACTCTTTAGCCTTGCCCACAGCCCTTTGTGCCTACATTTATTTTTCAGATAGAGTGTCAAGCTTTGGTCAGAGCTGGTTTCAGACCACAATCCTCATATCTCTGCCTCCTGGGTAGCTGGGATTCCAGGTGTGTGCCATCACGCCCAGCCCCACCAAAAATTTCTACCCACTACCCTCCTTCATGACTCTGCAATTCTAGCCAGACTCCCTTTTGCAACACGTATGTCTGAATTTCCCTCTCTTGTTACTGACTAGTTCAGCCCATTTCCATATATTCAAATCTTAACCATTCTTCAAGGTTCCACTTCCACCTCCTTCATGAATACCTTCTCGGTTCTTCATTTAGAATGTTGATGACACCTTGCACTGAAATCTTAGTGCGTTTGTACCTCTATCTCCAATAGCGTATCATATAGCTTCCTTATGTTATAGACAATTCATACATGCATTGTCTCTTTTCC